ATTTTATGGTTGGTATTGTATAGAGGTAGCGACCGCGATAACTGAGAGGTTAACTTTGCGTACAGAGTTCGAGTCCTGGTTGACCAACATGCAAAATTATAGAAAATAAATTTTTCACTCGACAGGCAATGAAATAAAAATTCATCAGCCGTTCGAAGGTGGCTATCGGGTATATACATAGACGCTTGTTGACGCATATGTATCCAAGTAAGATACATATATGTCCTTATTGAACATATGTATATATATAATTGACGCTTTGTAACCACTGAAGCGATTTTTTTGGCCGAGCTCCTCCTCCAATTTGTTGTTATGCGTCTTGATGTTTTTCCCAAAAATGGCGGGGCTTACAGTTTCTACTAAGCCGCCTTCGAACGGCTGTTGGCTTCTTTATGAGGAGCTTTATTTCATGTCCGAAATACAGTAGGAGGGGTGGACGTTCCCTGCCGTGGGGCGACCACAATCAAAAACTTTAACTTAATTTTTTTATTTAAATTAACTTTCTAGAACATTTGGATTTTGGTGGTACCGCGATTTGAACCCGAGCCTTCCGAATGTCAGTACGCAATGCTAACCACTCGGCTACCGTACTACATACATATATACGACGGGATTAACAAAAGTTCGGTAAGTTGACCATGAAAAAATTCGTTTTGTATTTAATCGTAAGATTTGTCCTTTTTTTTAAATCTCTACATAATTGCCATTGAAATCAATGCATTTCTCAAACCTATAGATCCACTACTGAAAACAGTCTTCAACGTAAGATACGTTTGCTATTAAAGACCTTTTCCTTTAAATTTTTTTTAATTTTTTTGAAAAAACCAGAAATCACGAGGTGCTATACCAGGGAATATGGTGCTGAACGTATTTCTTCGATCCCAGCAGTGTGAGATGGCGCGTTGTTATAAAGTAGAAAGTAGCGCCGCAAATCTTATTTCTGCTTGTTCTCTATCATAGTTTTGAAATCTTTGGTGTACCATTTTGCAGTTACCGTCTGACCCTTTTCCAAAGGGAAAGTTGCTACGATTTGAGATCGATTTGTCCTTTGCTTCAAAATAGGCTGCAGTTTTGACGATCAACACTTCGTTCGACTAAAATTTCTTCTCAGCGAGCAATCTTTTGGTATCTGAGAACAGGAAATAGTCGGGTGGGCCAAATCTGGAGAATAAGATTTAAACCTCTCCAAACACTGCTCCGAATCATCCATTCGTCGTTGTTTTTGGTCAAAATTGAGCTCGCGCGGCACCCACTTTACACAGATCCTTCTCATACCCAAACATTCGTGAATGATATGATGCATACGCTCAATAAACATATTTAAAGTGGCTGCTATTTCATTCAATTTCAATTTACGGTCATTCAAAATAAACACGCCAATTTTATTTCGAGAGTAGAATGGAAAATGTCATGTCCTTAGATGCTTCAATGAGGCATACCAAGTTTCGTACAAATATATATCTCAAAACCTGAAATACTTGTTTATACAATAAGTTCAAAGAAACATACGGACAGACGTACTCAAAGTGAGAGGGGAAGTTAATAGGAAACTTGGTTTTCATGCACTGAACTTTTTTTTTGTTTGCAAACTGCTCAACACGACCTTTTCTTCTTTCAAAGTTACTTGTTTAATGATTAAAAAACATCACTTTACCTCGTCACAATCGATGCGAAAAGACCGTTTCTATAGAAAAAAAGTTATTAAAGCGTTTTGATCCATTGACTGTATTAGACTTACAGAAGCATAGACATTGTAGTCAGCTCTTTTAGAAGATAATAATACGGCCATAAAAAGCAGAACCTTAAAGGGCAAGCCTAAGTTAAGAAACTACTTTTTGTATAGGGTAATACATGTGGGGTCTCAAAAGTAATGGGCGTTATTTTGACATCCGTCAAGCTTAACATGGTGATTCAAACGTGGCACGTTTTCATTCAAGAGACTGAATCAGTTAGAGATATTGTATGAACTGTTCATCATCGTTTTGCACATTGCGCCTCAAATATCGCTGCTGTAAGTGAAAGTGTAGCCAAAGACCCTGACGTACTCAAGAGCTGATACTTTCTTACCGCATATTGCGGCGTGTTTTACATTGGACTTACACCTTATCCATATAAAGTCCAGTTCATGCAACAATTGAGTAATTGAACAGCACAACGCCGTAAGTGCGTCGGTAACTCTTAAGTACGCTTGAACAAAAAGCGGTGGGCGGCGATTTTTCAAAGAAAATTTTGTTTAGTGACGTCTTACGTAAGTAAGTAAAATTGTCGCATTTGTGGCTCCAAGAATATTCAGTTAATTGAATAGAGGCAAAAAAAAAACTTACTCACAGGTGCGCTCTTTGCTCCGGAGTTGTCAATTCGGAGTGTTATGGCTGAGATATCGCCTATTATGTGCTAAAAAGTGGTTGAAAATTACCTCAAACGGTATTTCACATATAATGCCAAGGTTCAAAGTTTATAATAAAAATTGCCTTATTGCTTTCATTATTTAAAAAATAGTTTATTTCCGTTTTTTTCGAAACCGCAAAATGGATAACCTGCAGCTTTCATCAATTATGAGTTGCTGCAGTCGCCATGACATCCCATTTGTACAAGCAAGGAAAGTAACGTGCTGCTTTTTCCAGGTTTCTTCCAGAACCTTCTTTTTTCTCTAAAATAAGAGAATACGTACATATGTTTTATCAAATAATAGCTTCCGAAAAATCATCTGCATTGTAAGTTTGATCACGCAACAAATCAAGATCATCATTTTTAGCTTGCAGTTTGCTCTTAAAAAGAGGGTATATAGAAGAGTATAGAGTTCAGGTCTGCCAGAGGGTTTCACTCTACTTATTTTAAGAAAGCACGCTCCAAAGCGTTTTCTGAAACGCTGAAACCATCCGTCAATAGTTCTGTTCGTAACATTTGCGTCTGAATTTTACTGAACCGTTTTTGGTGAGACAAAAAATAAAATTTGCATCGTTACTAGCGGCCGTGGTAGCCGAGTGGTTAGCATTGCGTACTGCCATTCCGAATGCTCGGGTCGTACTAACATCCAAAAAGTTATAGAAAATTAATTTAAATTAAATTTACTAATTGCGGTCGCTCCCGGCAGGTAATGGCAACCCCTCTGAGAGTGTTTTTGACTTGAAATAAAGCTCCTTATAAAGAAGCAATCAGCCGTTCGAAGGCGGCTTAGTAGAAACTGTAAGTCCCTCCATTTTTGAGAAAAACATCTAGACACAAAACCACAAATTAGAGGAGTGGCTCGGTTAAAAATCGCTTCAGCGGTTACAAAGCGTCATTCATATTATATTACTGACATTTCTCACAAAACAGAGCTAATCGCATTACGTTTAGTTTCATTTTATTTGATTTGCGAGTTGAGAAACTTTCCATTTTTGGGAAGTTCAGAATGCCTTATTGCTTGCCTCATACCAGGTGCTGGAAAATGTGTTAGCAACACATTTTGTCTTTATCCTTACTCTTTGCGATAGCGCAAAGTGGAGACTTTGCTATATTATTCAGCTTTTTCTTTTAAAATTAAACACTTCTTTGCTTTTTTAGGCATTACCAAATAGCCAATGCCTGGGTCCCCTTAATGCGATGTTCTGGTTACCGCGAGTCTACCGTAAATGTATATGTTTATCAGCAAATATAGGTGAACACAATTACCACATGTTATATTTATTAATATTAACATATCCACCATGTATTTGCCATGTATGCATATCATTTGCATTTGCTTTAACTGCCTACATGTCGCTACTTCGACGGAAAAATAATCTATCAGCGCAAATTCGTTTGAATTCTGATAAGTTTTGCTCTTGTAATTTTTTGTCTAAAAGCCAATGTATGTATGTAAGTATATAAATACACATAAGACACTGTATATATATGTAATCTTACATGTTTTGAGGTATTCGTACAATGTGAGAAGTGCGAAAATCATGACCTTGTGCGTTGTGAATTGTATGTAAAATGCGGGCCAGGGTGAAATAAACTTAAAAAAATTTATTATATATTAGGTAAAGTAAAAAGTTCCTTCGATTTTCTCTTGATTTTTCAAAATATGATAACTTTGTGTTTATTTGTCCGATTTAAGTCAAATATACGCCGTTTTGTTCGTAAACTTAATGCCAACTTCATTATACCCCTCTCGTAGAAGGTTGCGTCCCTATTGAAAAAAAAACTCGGAGAGCCAATTTTAACAGGCCTCTCTCGAGGCCAACTTCTCACCATTAAGCGCGTTCGCCATGGACAGGAAAAGATGGTAATCACTTGGTGCCAGGCCCGGACTATAAAGTGGGTGCATTAGGATCCACCATCCGAGCTTCTGGCGTGTCATCAAAGACGTGTGTGGCCTTTCGTTGTCCTGATGGATGAGTGGTGTCTTCAAGCGGTCCATTTGTTGGCAGTAGGGAGCCGAATTGAGCGTTTGGCCATGGGGGAGTAGCTTGTAGTAAATGACTCCTTGGCAATCCTACCAAACACACAGCAAAACCTGGTGCATCTTTGACATCGAAATTACCGAAATTGAACCTAGCCAACCACTTTTGTGCTACTCGTTCCTTTACGGTGTCGGGCCCATTAGTTAAATTAGTTTTTTCAGCCGCTTTGGCTGCTTTTTCGCCTTGATCGAAGAAAAATTGTAAAATTTAGCTGATTTTCGCTTTGCTGGTGTCCGACTTTGACGAGCGCTCACAACGTACTGAGTCAATCAATCGAAAAACTGTCAAAGACAAACTTTTAGCGCGATTAGGCACGTTTTCAGCGCCGTAAAGTATGACATGATGCGACACGTAATACTGGTACTATGGACAATAACGCCATCTCTTAGACAAAAACCGAACGAACTTTTTACTTGATCTAATATTTTAAAAATGAAAATAAATCAATTATCCGAAACAAATTTAATTGCTTAGAAAGTTTATCGAACTGATTATTCAATTTCAGGTGTACATATTTTTTTATTTTATACATATATGTATATATATATATATATAATTTTTTTTTTGCAGAAAACACAATCCATCACAAGAATCCATCCAATCAGCGATTAGCCACGTCCATTGGAGCTGCACTGAAAGACTTCAACTTCAAAATAAATATATAAAAATTAAATCGTATAAGTCTCCTGTCAATGAAATTATAAGCCAGCCAAGCGACTGATCTTTTTGGCGAACGCAAAAAAAGAAATTAAAAAAAAAGTTAAAAAAAAAACATTTACAAAATCGTTAGAAATACTTAAGACGTAGACATAGCTATTTTCTTTAGATAAAATAACTTGCTCAAACATTGCCATGGACAATTGAAATGCTTGAACGTTTTCGTTTGGGTAATTTAAGTGGAAATTGTCGTTTACAAAGGGAAGAACTGGCGCGCGATAAGAAACAGCAAAGACAACAATGTGTCACTGTCCTGCTTCTAGATGACACAGCGCACACCTTTCGGATAGAGGTATGTAGCACCAATTTAATATATTGTATATCTCTATATGTAAGTTAAGTATATATGTATTGGGTTGCCCAAAAAGTAATTGCGGATTTTTCATATAGTCGGCGTTGACAAATTTTTTCAACGGCTTGTGACTCTGTAATTGCATTCTTTCTTCTGTCAGTTATCAGCTGTTTCTTTTAGCTTGCTTTAGAAAAAAAGTGTGCAATTTTAATATGAAGCCCACAAAGGAGCATTTTCGTCATATTTTACATTATTATTTCCGTAAAGGACAAAACGCGGAGCAGGTTGCTAAAAAGTTACGAGATGTGTATGGTGATGAAGCCTTAAAAGGAAGACAGTGTCAAAATTGGTTTCGTAAATTCCGTTCTGGCGATTTTTCACTTAAAAGTGAGCCACGTTCAGGTCGGCCAAATGAAGTTGATGATGACCAAATCAAAGCATTAATCGAATTGGATCGTCATGTAACTGAGCGTGAGATAGGAGAGAAGTTAAATATACCAAAATCAACCGTTCATTATCACATAAAAAGTCTTGGACTGGTGAAAAAGCTTGATATTTGGGTACCACATGTATTGAAAGAAATTCATTTAACACACCGAATCAACGCTTGTGATATGCACCTTAAACGCAATGAATTCGATCCGTTTTTAAAACGAATCAAACGAATCAGATGAAAAATGGATTGTTTACAACAACGTTAGTCGGAAACGATCATGGTCCAAGCATGGTGAACCAGCTCAAACCACCTCAAAGGCTGGTATCCACCAAAAGAAGGTAATGCTGTCTGTTTGGTGGGATTGGAAGGGTGTTGTATATTTTGAGCTGCTTCCAAGGAACCAAACGATTAATTCGGATGTTTACTGTCAACAATTGGACAAATTGAATACAGCCATCAAGGAGAAGCGACCAGAATTGGTCAATCGCAAAGGTGTCATATTCCACCAGGACAACGCTAGACCGCACACATCTTTGGTCACTCGCCAAAAACTAAGTGAGCTTGGCTGGGAACTTTTGATGCATCCACCATATAGCCCTGACCTTGCACCATCAGACTACCGTTTATTTCGATCTTTGCAGAACTCCTTAAATGGTAAAACTTTCGACAATGATGAGGCTATAAAATCGCACTTGGTTCAGTTTTTTGCAGATAAAGGCCAGAAGTTCTATGAGCGTGGAATTCTAAATTTGCCAGGAAGATGGCAAAAGGTTATCGAACAAAATGGCAATTATATATTTGATTAAAGTTCATTCTAAGTTTTATTAAAAATGCATTTACTTTCTTTTAAAAAATCCGCAATTACTTTTTGGGCAACCCAATATGTATGTTTATGTATATAAATGTATAAAATTTAAATATTTAAAATATTTAATTATCTGCCAAGCATGTCCCTTGAAGCTTATTATTTCATACTTAATCAACTTACCGCTTAATTATCAATTAATGAACGTTACAATTAGTAGGAGGTATTAAAAAAAAAGTATTATTCAGTGCTGTGGAAAACACCGCGTTCGGTAGTCTATTGTGCCCTCCGATTTTTTCACATTATTTCAATCAGGCCTAATGCCCTTATCAAACCTATCAGGCTAGAGGGGCTCATTGATATTATGTGGTTATCCTCCAGCTGAATGACTTCTAGGTGTCTCAAGCAGAATGTACACCAGTGTTTCTGGTACTAGCTCACCGAAGCGCCATGTTGCATCGAAGCAGGTTCCAAGCCTGTACAAGTGCTTAAGCAGTCTGCAATGTGCTGTAAGAAATCCTGTTAATACTCTTTAGTTAGTTTTACTAAATAATATTACGTTTTTGAATCTTCTAGTATTGTAGCTGTCTATAAATTCTCTTGATTGTCTCATTGCGTCGCTAGTATACCAGTACCTGTTTCTTGTATGCATTTCCTCCCTTATCATCTTCTCCTTAATTGATTGAGAGCCTAAGAGAAAGAAGGATAAAGGTCCAGTAGGAGAGACTGAGGCAGCTTCTCTTGCAAGTCTGTCTGCTATTTCATTTCCTTCAATACCTGTATGTGCCGGAACCCAGATGAGCTGTACTTGGTTCCGTTCGCCCACTCTATTGAGATTCTTAACAAATTCCCATATCATATACGGCTTAATAGTACATGACGATGTTGCTTTCAGTGCTGCTTCACTGTGACTGCAAATTACTACATGTAAAGTTTCTTTGGAGTATGAGCTCCGTACTTGTTGTAATGGCGAACACCTCTGCCTGAATTATGCTATGGTATTTCCTCATGGGTATTAATATCTTTGTCCTGGGGCCCGGGGCTCCGCACCTATACCGTCAGCAGTCTTTGATCCATCTGCGTATCACGCATGGGTGTGTGGTTTTGTTTCTTCTCTATTGAAATTTTTTAGAAGTATCCTTTCTTTTATTTGTGCCCCTTTCTTAGCTGATATAATTCTACCTTTCCATGACCCCTCTTGATCATTGTCAAAGGGGTTTCTGTGTGAAATTTCTATTGCTCTGTGGAAAGGTGTAAGATCAAGTCTATGCAGTTTAGTCAGTGCGGCCATGTTTAACTTTGCTCTTTCTGGCTAGGCAACTGCTCCATATGTAATTATTGGCTTTGCACCCTCATGTTTTCCCTGCTAATCTCCCTGCATACCATTATTGATCTCGTCGCTTTACTTATCATATACTCCATGTGTCTTTTCCACGCCACTTTGGCATCAAAAATCGCCTCCAGATATTTCGTTTCAAAGGTGAGCTTTATTACTATATTGTTAAATATTATGTCTTTTAGATTCATTTTATTTCTTCGTGTAAATGGTAAGATTGCTGTCTTAGTAGGGTTACTGTTTAGCCCCGCTTCTAAGCACCATTGCCTCGTTAATGTGAGTGCTCTCTGTATAATATTACACAGTGTGTTCTCGAATTTGCCTACTGCTATTATTGCGATGTCATCGGCTTATCCTTGACATTTTATGCCCTTGTCTGTTAGGAACTCTGGCAGGTCATCGACTACTAAGCTTAATAGAAGTGGTGATAGTACTCCTTCTTGAGGGCATCACTTCTTCAGTCTTCATCTGAATGGTTTCGCTGTCTACAACTGCCTCTGCTATTCTATTGTTAAGCATGAAGGTTTTGAATTAATTCTTCTACTGTTTGCTTACGAAGTGCTTTTTCAACTGTTTCATGAGAGGTGTTGTCCAAAGCTCCTTCAATGCCTTTGAAAAAGCATTATGATTTCTGATAGTTAATACAAAGCTGTTATAGTTGATATGTCCTCTCCATACGCAAGCTGTGCGATTAGTTGCTCTTATGTTGTTATCGATAAATTTTTCCATGGCTTTTAAGTTAAAGGTTGTAGACTTATTGGCTTATACTCTGTTGTCCATTTTACCAAGTTTGGGAATGAATTTTACTAAGGGTCTACCAAGCCGTTGGTATGCATGCCAATGTAAGGCCTTTCCTCATGATATGTATCAGCACGGATATTGGTTGTTCTCCGTTTTATAGTAGTGCTGGCCATATACCAGCTATTCCTGGCGATTTTAAATTCTCAAAGGAGTTGTTTGCCCACTTTACTGACCTATAACCGATTATCTATTTAGCTAAGTGGCAGAAATCTTTGTTTGGGTCAGGGCTTTTCTGAGAAGAACCATCGCTCGTTCCTTTTCGTTCTTGGTACATTGATTACTTTCTAGTTTTAATGCCATTTTACTTTCTACTGTACCTGTAACCTGGTTGCTTCCAGTATAGACGATATACTTCCGCAAAGATTCCTGAAACTCGATATTTTTGCTTCCCTCCGTTCTTTATTGTAGTTGGTAAGAACAATTGATGTGTGTTATAGACTGGAAGGCGTCTTAAATAGTGTTGTTTACTGGAAAACATCAACGTTTTGAGTTTAGATTGGGCATAAAACACCACTTCAACTAAAAAGAGACAACATCAACATTCAATTTTGATGACGATCACGGTGAATATAGTAAAAACTACGATTTGAAGGTAGACACCAAAAATTTTTAGTCTCTTATTTGGATAGGTGTCGCTGTTTAGTTGGGTCTGGACCGTCATTGCCGTCATCCATGAAAATCACTGTTGCCAGTTACTATGGTTCAACGTTGTTACAAATCGTCTACCTATAATCCAGAATAAAACGTATCCTTGAGCACATTTCCGATTTGTGTTCACACTTTGACGGAAGTACGACCGCTTGCAACGTACACATGAGCGCTACGGTATCATAATCGTGCTCTCTACATTAAAGCCAGGAGATCAGCGGTCGGAAAAGCCAAGAGTACACCTCCCTACAAGGGCTGGAGCTATTCAAAGTCTTGGTCCCGAATACCAGGTTCCAGCAGAAAAAATATCAATCAAGCTACTTCGTTGTCGAAATTCTCGAAACTAAACAAAAGCAAACTTTATTAAAAATAATTATAACAGATTATGATTAATAGTTTCTTTACAATAAAGTTGTGCGAATACGAGCAAGGCGAAATCAACCCAAAACGTTTGCTTTCTTCTTCTTTATTAGCGTAACCACGCGGTTATAGAATTTTAAGGGTAACATTGTTCCTTATCTACGACTTTGAAGTAATGACTCTCAACAGGGCGTGAATGGTAAGGACAGGAGATATTTAGTCTACTATAATATCAATCAGTTGGGCAGCAACACCAATTAAGGGACCAGAGATTCCAGCTGTATGATCGCTTATTATAACTTCAATAATTTGCTCTTTTCCGGTACAGATGTTCCCCCTTTCAGAACTGTTCTCCGGGCTCCCATTCTTATGCGACCCCTCCTTGCTCCATCCGCAAAATGTACCCCTAATTCTTACAACTAGTATGTTTTTCTTTCATTTTTTACCATTTGGACATTTTTGGTGTGTCTGTGCCCTCTCGTGTAGTATAAAATTGTTCACACTTGTTATAAATAAAAGTAAGTAACTCCGTAATTTGCTAACCTACCGATTTGCTGCACTGATCTGGGGGCCAGGGACTAGAAAGATGCAGATGAAGAAGCTAAAATCTTGCC